TTTATTGTTTAAGGAAAGGATATACTCTCTCTCTCTCCCACTCAAACGCACACACATACAGTACCGACACAAAACTCGCACAGAAACGTGTCGTCAGCGCTGATCTGAAGATTTTAGCAACTTAAAAGCTACATGACATTTCTCACTAGCGAGGTGAGCAATGACGACATTGTTAGTGGAGACGCTGCTGCCAAACACAGTTGAGAGACGTACAGACTCAGGTAATTCACACACACTTTTGATAACTCTATCTCTCTCTAATAACTGCATTAATAACTGCATTAGTTCACACACACTCACTCTGTTCTTGTTTCTGACTAAAAGGTTTCAAGGTTTTCAAGGCTCAAGCCTCTGTTACAAGCTCTAAAATGACGTTTTGGAATTAGCAACGGAGGCTTCCCAGATAGCAAACTGACATTGAATCATCGTGGAAATATGACATCGAAACAACGTTGATCTGACATTGTTTTGCTCATCGAATTAACGTTGAACCAACGTCAGATGCGTCATTCTTTCAAAACTAACGGAAAATCAACTTGAAATCAACGCGTTGTTTCAACGTTATGAAAGTAAACCAATTTTCGATTTCATTTAGCTTTGAAGAATGCCGCGTCTGACGTTGGTTCAGCGTTAAATCGATGAGCAAATCAACGTTGTTTCAATGTCATGAGAGATGTCGTTTCCACGTTGATTCAATGTCAGTTTGCTGTCTGGGTTGGGATGATACTGACATCAAATTATTAGAGAATTAGAAATAATTCGACAGCCCGTCGTAACTGAATCGTAACTGACAAACACAAAAGAAGATATTTTGAAAAATGTTTCAACCGTTTTTGTTTATTCAATGAATGTCAATGGGGCCCAATGTTGTTTCGATTTGAAAAAGACATGCAAGTAAAAAAATCAAACAATGCAACGTGATCTCATGAGAATACGTATGTATTTGTACGTAAAGTGCCGTTCTATCATACGTATATATATAATTACGTTTTGTGTGCACAGAAACGTATAATACTGACGTATTTACAGTACTAAAACGTAAAATATTTACGTATTGACAGCACAAAAACGTAATTTATTTACGTATGAACAAATCCACGGACGTACACATTTGTACGTATCACAATTTATGCATATTAATATCGTAGCATTATGTTTTCACTCTATTGCATTCCACTGTCTTATTAATGAAGTTTTCAGTCGCATTTATTCATATAATACTAGTTTTGCCTGCATGGTGTTAAACAATACACTATAAAACCTTAAAAATACATTCTTTAACGTTACTCGTTCAACCATTTTGTAATCGTTTATTTACCTTGAGACACATAAAGCTTTTCCTTCCATTAAAACACAACAAAAATTCACAAAAGACATCAATTTTATTAGTTTGATGTAATCCAAATCTTTAGAATCCATAGTTGTTTGCAAGAAACTCCTAATTCAGCCTTTTATCCAGTCGTGATCGTCTCCATTCTCAGCAGCGACCGTACATGTCAAACCTCGCGCTGGTGATGAATTCAAATTCAAAAAATGCGCCCTTGAGAAGCGTTACGTCATGTTTTACGGCAGTGATATCAAACGTTCATTGGCTTTCCCTGCTTCGTCACAGATTGCGACATGAAGGACTGTGACGGTTGGTTAGTTTAGTTCATTTGAAATGGAGAAGCGCGAACCGAAGCCGGATTAACATTTTCATTGATTAGTAATTTAATTTCTGCTCTGTACTTCATACAAAACTATTACAATACTGCCAGAGAAGACTACAACGCTTCATCATGTGAACGGCTTTTCGTATCGGTTTTGACATTTTCGCAATGAATAAATTATTGTGATTATACTTTTCTGTTAGTTATGTTTTTCTTCATAATTGTAGTTTGTTACGTAGTTTTAAGGAATTGTTATGGGTAGGTTTAGGGGTAGGAGTAGGATTGGTGGCTCAAAATATATTTTAATGCTATATTGTTAATAAAACTGCCATTTGTCCATTACGTTTTATCCTTTTTTATATTATGAATAAAATGGGTACGTTTAGGTTTGGGATTAGGGTTACGGGATCTTACATTTATCTATAAAATGGTAAAAAGGGAAATTATACAGATATCTTTATGATATAGAATATACGTAAATAATTTACGTTTTGTAGCTGTAAAAACGTAATTAGGTTTAAATGTTGCAGATACGTCTATATTATACATTTCAGCATCTATCCAAACGTAAGTTTGCTATCTTTGCAAAAACGTAAAATACCTACGTATTAACAATGAGACCAGGCTGAGCAATACACAACAGGTTCAATACAGCCTCAGCTGGGTCAAAATTGATGATATTCACAAACTCTCTGCCATTATTGTATATATATCAGTGCATTGATGTATTGTGATAATATGCACTCGAAATATATCTGATGTCCTGCATCTTAATGCGTCAACACAGTAGGCTTTTTAGACATTGTACATCAAAAAAATATGAACCAATCACCAGTTAGTGTTTAGGAATGTTCAAAGGAGTGTTATCCATGTTAATATACATAACAGCAGTCTCTAACTTTTCCCTGTCTGAAGTGCCTCAATGTCCACTCCTGTTGAAACCAACAGAACCAAACAAAAACCAGTGCAAAAACAGACTGTCTCTGTGACAGACTTTTTCCGCGCCCCAGGGCACCTGTTGTCCCATATGGGCGATCGCTGCAGAGCGAGACAGGACAGGCATTTAATACTTGCAAAACGTCCAGCGCTGCTCCCTGCTTTCACACTGCTTTGCTTTTCGCTCTATGAACTGTTTTATCTCAATTGAATGTTAAACAAGACCTGCAATGTATAAAATGATGGTGGGGAGTATCTGATTGTCATGTGCAAAGAAAAATAAGCAATAAAAGCACAACATTAAAACATCTAGTGAGTATTAGAAGCAATGAACTGATCACATTGCTCATTGAATGTCGTTTTCTTAACAAGATGGCTAATGTAAAATATTTCAGATCCACTGGATGAGCAGTTTAAATAAAAATCAAAAAAATCAAATGCCAATAGAATCAGAACTTTGAGGGAAGTGTATTCTGAATTAAAAGAGGGAATTAGATGTGCAATCTGAAGTCCAAAGCTCAAATGGGGCAGCTGAGATGACATATTGGAGATTTAAGTACTGGTTGCTAGGCAACTTTACATCCCATAATTAAAAAAAACAAGAAATAATGCAACGATCGGCCTTCATGCATTTAAATTTTGCCGAGTTTTCAGTAAAGGGATTAAAAGTTATAGCTGTTCAAAGTGAAATCATAATGAGTGCAAAAGCAAAAGATATCAGGCCAGAAAGCAGTTGCATGTTCTAATGCAAACACTTTTTTCTTGGTTTGTCTAAAAGTTTGACATGAAAAAAGACGACCGATGAATGAGCACTTTCAGTAAACGGCGTCAGAAGAACAGAGCCTTCTTGCAGAGCGGTCCCCGACGTACTTAAACACACACTTTGACATCTCAACAATGACACGCACATCAAAGCTCAGTCAATATTTACATCAATCTCCTCTCCTCCGGTGAAGAAAGAAAGAAAGAATTGCATTTGAAAGACTTCTGCTGCTCTGATCTACACAGACTCATAATGAAACTTTGAAGGGAAAAAAGACTTTTCATGAAGTCCTTATGAAAATATGTGTGAAATCTGACCAATAGAAGATGCGCTAGTGAGATTGTTGTTAGGACGTGATCAGTCCTCGTTATATTAATAAGTTTAGCACAAAATGATCTGCAGTGTTTAATAAAAGTAGGAAATGTACTTCAAATATGAAACCGAAGTCATGTGATGTATTGCACAACGCAATAAAATTCCCTGCAACATTGGCAGGATTAAAAGAGATCCAATCCCATGCACTTGCAAATGTCTAGAGACAGGGCTCAAGACTTTTCAATATGTTTGAAAGGTTGCGGTACATGTGTTTGCAATCCAATTCCCAACCATGAGCTATGCTTCCTCCAAAGCCTGAAACACAACTCTCTCCAGTTATTGATTCACGTGAGCTGCACAACGTTTTATGAGCGAACATTTGAGTCCTCCTTTGCGTCATCATTCACAATCAGGGGACATATGGCATGCCTTAGCGATTAGCATGGACTTAAACCCAACAGGCTTCCAGCTGACATGGAGAAACCCAATACTGTACGGAGCGCCCCACTGCATCACTCTCCACACACGTTCCCATCAGATACCGCTGCACTGAGAACTGTCACAGGACACATGGGAAACGAGCATTGCTTTTCCCGTTTGGTAACCAACTGCACGCTCTTCGTGCAGAAAGTGTCCCGTTCGGTTTGCTAACGTGAGCCGAGTTTGCGTTACGGCTCTGATTGAAGGTGTGCGTCAACACCAATCGCTCAAGACGGATCACATGTATGTCATACATCCTTAACTGGAGGGTCGCGATCCAGAAATGGGTTGCAGGGCACAGGGAAAGCACAAAAACAGAACCACATCTAATCCCATATAATAGTTAGGATGGCATAAATACATAAAATTATAATGATTATATAGGAAGCGCTTTATTTTACAGTCCCCCATGTACATACATACTAGGTACTTATTATAACTGGGTAATAACCTAAAGCTATACCTTAACCCATGTATATTACCCAGTACTTGACACATGTCAAGTGCAACCATTATTTCAAATATAAGTCATGTTGTTTAGGTCTTTAAGCATGGTATTTCATCGGTCACTTCAGATGTCAGGCGGGCGCTTATCCTCATAAACCATGAACAAGATAAAAAGCAAACATGTCAGGTGCACTTAGGATAAGCGTAAATGGAAAACCAAAATGTGACTTCTGAATGATCAATAAGATTGGCACTGTGTTGACGCAAAACCAGTTGCCAGAGTCTGTTATTAACCTTAAGCCTTTCATATCTCCTAAACAATAATTTCACAGCGTCCTTTCTAAAGATCTATTCGCAACACCTCGCTGTCTCAGCGAAATCAGGTGATGGAAGAGGTAGGGCGTACTCACAGGTAAGACGTCAAAGGGCTCAGGTCAGGTGGCACGCTGGATAGTCCCTGTTCGGAGCAGTCCACGATCAGTAGGATGCCATCCTCCTCACACTGGCACGCAGACGGGCACTGCTTAACAGGCACCGTGGCACCCGGCGGCCCGTGAGAATGGGCACACGAGACGGCATGCAGGATCAGTAACACCCCCAACATGACAATGACTCCAACTCTTGTCTTTCTGTGGATGGGCAGTATGTCTCTCTCTCTCAGCTGTAGCTCTGTTTGTCTGTGGGTATGTGTCTGTCCTCTCTCAGCTCTCTGAAATGTTATCCTAAGCCTCGTCTCTGTAGATTTATTCTGTCACTTCAAACTCCCATGGGTGAATGAGTCAGTCAGGGGCTTACGCAGGTCTTCTCTCTCTCTCTCTCGTCTCATCTCACTTAGGAGACATTCACCTATTGTAGTGGAAGCTTGCAGCGCTCCTCTGATTGGCCGGAGCTTTTGGAGGGCGGAGCCGCCCGGCACAGCACTCCTCCTCCTTTCTCTCTCGCGCTCTTTCTGCCTCGGGCAGCTGGAGTGGATGGTTGGAAGAAAATTCTGAGAGGGACAGAATTTCACTGTGCCTTCTCATCACACCTTTAGACGTAGCACAACCCTTCCCTCGTGATCGCTTTTCTGCGGCTGCTGAAACCCTGCAGGGTAAATTTAGCCGTCCGTCAAACGCTGACCACTTCTCCTGCTGTTGCTCCTTGTATAAATCACATGCAAATATTGTTTCGCTCCATTTCTCTTGGAGCAACGCTTACATGGTGTTTTATAACCCGAACAACAATAATTGAGTTAAGCTGCGGGCTCCCCTCAGCCAAACGAACTACAGATTTACTACTTCGCTGTCCCAGCTTGTACAGCGGGGTGTCTTTTCACCGCAAGAGGCATGAATGTCCTATACATTGCTTGCTCGGTGGGTCTCACTTTAACTAGTGGGAGCAACGGCGATAAATAGTGCCGTTTATTCATTTGGAAAAGTGGACAATGGAATTTGCCAGATCGCTAGGTGATAAATACTATCTGTTTACGCCTCGAAGGTTCATGGGAACTCCTGATCGATTGCCGTCAAGTGGCAACAGCTCAATTTGACCTAAACATCTCTGAAGATGTACCACAACATCCACGTTTCCAGGAAATGAAGCTGTGTAAGGCTTCCTTCAAGATGTGACTCCAAACATCTGCAGAACTCCTTAAGTACTGTCACTGTGGCCGTATTTATGTTTTAATTTGTGAATTGTTTGTAATATTTATGTCATTTGGATCATCTTCTACAACGCTAAGTTGGCATGGGTTTCTGGAAAGGTTCTTGCGTAGTAGTGCCCAAAGCACTATCCTCTCTTGTTCTGCTTCATTCTATTATATATTTTTTTTTTTAGCTTGTTTTTGTTATGTTCATGGGGGGTCTCGATTGTTAGCGTGACACATTTCCCTTTTTGTGAAACTGTGGCCAGTTTCAGAGAATCGAATAACATTACTTTGAGTGTGTCAGTTGTTTTGCATTAATCTTAGTCATCACATCTGTTTCAAAATCTTCCTTTCTTGGAGTCGATGCTTTTATGCTTTCAGCGTTACAGTCCAGCATGAGGATCTCCAGCGCTGCTCATTCATCTGTTTTAGAGTCATTCACAATGGGCTCAAATGAATTCCACTAATTCATTAAAATTCCTCAGCTGAGCCTATTTTCTGTGGAGCCTTTGTTACATTCCCTCAAAAAAAAAGAAAGAACTGTAGTCATTGATGCACATTATGTCTGTATTATCCACACACACACACACACACTCACCATCAAGAGCCCAATTCTCATGCAAACGTTCATTGCAGTTCAAATTGCTTTGCCTGAGGACAGCCTCAATATAGATCCACAAACATGCAATACTCCCCTCTCTCACGGTTTAATTTATGTCAGTTAAGTTGCCAGTCTTGTCATGCACAAAGTGATGAAATGTTAGAGATGCTGAATAAAAAAAAAAAATACTGCTTGCACTTTGTTATAGTTCTGTTATGCAATTACAATTACTGGTTAATAACTAGATAATAACTCTAAATCTACCCCTAAACCTAACCTTAACCTATCTAACCTTTTATTATCCAGTGCTTTCTTAGGTACTGTACTGTAAAATAAAGTGCAATCGAAATATTAAATAAATACAACATGATGATTGCCTGTACTCTAAGGAAAGTTTGCTCAGAAAACTTGAACCGGAAAAACATTTCTTAGGAGCAATACAAACAGTAATGAATGAGCTATAAAATGAATGTAAGATCATTTGCCATGGAGGAAAATGAGAAATGTGCAAGTTTTGATATTGAAAGATAAAGGGTTTTTATGAGCAAACTTTACTTTGGGCACAGTGGAAACTTTGGAAACTTCAGATGATTATAAGGGTATTTCACAAGTTTTAAAGTCTGCCAGTTTTCACCAAAATTACATATTTAGAAGTTTTTACAAATTTCTTCATGCCTTAAAATAGCTTGAATGTAACTCTACCCTTTCCTCATTTAGTATATGTGGTTCAATGATTATGCAATATTGCCCCGCCTCCACACAGAGATCCACTCGTTGACGTCAGGAACAGTGATTTCAAACCGTGTTTAATTCACTGCAGTTTTAGAGAGAAAATACTCAGCAATGGTGTCGACTAATGCATTTGTACGTGGTTTGTCTTAAAGCATATTAAAAACACCACATATTCATAAAAACAACATTAAAAGCTTGATTTTCAAGTGGATGACTTTAAGTATACGTCTTTATTTATTTAATCTCATTGCTGTCTAGAAGAAACAGTTGAAATATTAAAGATATCTATTTTTATTTGAGCAAAATCTGTAAAAATTAAAAGTTTAACTTTTCACTGCAAAAAATAATTTTATTAAACTTTCTTGTTTTTTTTTTTTACTAAAATTATCTAAATATACTTTAGACATTTTATGCATAAAATGGCACAATATATTTAAACTTGCATACATATCTTGCTTATGTAATTGTGTTTTAAAATTATATTAAAATTATTATTTAGGCTATGTGTTTATGTTTTCTTAACGATAGAAATCCTGCAAAATTTTGTCTCATTTATGCTTAATAATATATATATATATATATATATATATATATATATATATGAATGTTCTCTAAAAACAAGTTTTTATTTAGACCTATGTATTGTACTTGTCAAGTAAATCTTGGAAAACTGGATATTTTTACTGGAAAACTATCTAAAAAAAAAATCATACTAGGAAAATATTGTTTTGCTGTGTTGAAAGGTTTGTGTTTTTCCCGTACACCATGAATGAAATCTGCTCTCACTATTTCTCCTGAAGAGCAAAACAGAAAGAACAAGCGATCCTGAAAAGCTCAGACGCTGAAAAGCAGGGATTTGTGAACAATGTGGCGGCAGTAAAGGAGAAGTTGAAAGTTAGACGTGCTGTCACCAAACACAGCTCTGCAAACAGTTCCCACCTCTGGGCACCTGCTCGCTGAGTCGGAGGCCAAAACAGGGTTGGGTTACCTATATGGCTGGAGATACAGGGACCGCTGGAAGATTTGCCCCATTCCCTGCCCCTGAAGATCAAAGGCCTACACTCCCCTCTCAATCCCATATCCACCCACACACACTCTATCCAAGCATCGGCAATCTTTTAAGGCACAAAAGGGAAGCAGTTACCTGGCTCTCACCTGTCTGAATCTGCCACAGGTTATTCGAGCTCCGTCAAGCACGGAAGTCCATTCAGCGGCTGCCTGATGAGAGGGAGAAACTGGAGACCTGGTTCTACCCACTTACCGAGGCTGGGAACAGACAATTACGGGTGAACGCAGTCATATCTGGCTGCTATGACCACCTGCTCGGTTCACTTGAGGAAACGTCTCAGAATAAAAGCAAACGTCTCAGAAAAAAAAAAAAAAAAAAACAACTCTCAATACTTCTAAGCCTTGACCTTGCTGTGCAACATTCTGGTTAAAATGTGGCAATGGTGATCAAAATGCTACAATGTATGATTTTAAACTATAAAAGAGTTTTTAGTGGGCTTCCTTCCCAGATTGGAAAAAAAAAAAAATCTCCATGTTCCTGAACAACACTTCCCAGTAGTATCAGCCATTCCATATTCCATTGCAAAGGTGTTCTGGGTGGTGTTGCTAAGGAGTTCTGGGTAGTTGCCTGGCCTTTCTTAGTATGAGCCATTCCATTGCAAAGGTGTTCTGGATGGTTGCTAGGGTGTTGCTAAGGAGTTCTGGGTAGTTGCCTGGCCTTTCTTAGTATGAGCCATTCCATTGCAAAGGTGTTCTGGGTGGTTGCTAGGGTGTTGCTAAGGAGTTCTGGGTAATTGAATGGCCTTTCTCAGTATCCATTCCATTGCAAAGGTGTTCTGGGTGGTTGCTAGGGTGTTGCTAAGGAGTTCTGGGTAGTTGCCTGGCCTTTCTTAGTATCAGCCATTCCATTGCAAAGGTGTTCTGGGTGGTTGCTAGGGTGTTGCTAAGGAGTTCTGGGTAGTTGAATGGCCTTTCTCACTATCCATTCCATTATAAAGGTGTTCTGGGTGGTTGATAGGGTGTTGCTAAGGAGTTCTGGGTAGTTGCCTGGCCTTTCCGATGAGCTGGATGATAACCAGAAACTGGATAAAGCCTATGTCAAAAGACTTTTTTTACTTATAAAAAATGTTTTTGTTATATTTAAGCAAAATCACATGAGCAGAGTGCTGTACCTTGTTCCGAATAGCAGCACAACTGTGAGTTTGATGAATTTGTACAACCGTTTTAATAGTTACAGTAAAGGCAGGGTAGGCGATTTTTTCCAGAAACATTTTTTGGTTGAAAGTCTCTTCAGATAATGATAGCAATCACTTTGCAAAGTGGTCTAAATTTATATATATATATATATATATATATATATATATACTGTATATATATATATATATATATATATATATATATATATATCATCTGTGGAAGGGTAAGGACCATAAAATGCTCATCTAATCACTGCATTCAGTCTGAATGTCCTACCAGCCTGACAACTTGTGTATATTAAAGGATTAGTTCACTTTTGAAAAAACTTTTGCTGATAATTTACTCACCCCCATGTCATCCAAGATATCCATGTCTTTCTTTCCTCAGTCGAAAAGAAATTAAGGTTTTTTGATGAAAACATTCCAGGATTTTTCTCCATATAATGCACTTCAATGGGAACCAGACGGTCCAAGGTCGAAAAGACAGTTAATAACAGTTTCAGATGCAGCTTCAAATGTCTTTAAACGACACCAGACGATGAATAAGGGTCTTATCATGCGAAACGATCGGTTATTTCAAAACTTATTCCAAAAATGTAACTTTTCTAAGGACAGATGCTAGCCTTGCTCTATTCTGTGAGG